AAAGGCATGGGACATTAAAACCGGCACGACAATTTTATACTTTTTGAAAATAGAAATTGAGATATCAAATGGTTTTGTTTGATGACATGATAATACGTAAATGTACTTATCAAAATGGAAGCGTTTCACAAGAAAAATTAATAACACAAAAAAAACTTTGAATATGTATATACACATTTGTTTTATAGCTAAATAATTTCAGAACGTTCTATATTGAAATTTTTTTAATTATCAATCATGATTCATTCTTTAATTTTGATTTTCTACATTAGCTAGATGTAATATAGTTTTTTACGAAAATAATAAACCTGTATAAACATACCTAATAAAATATATAATACGATTTTTTTAATACGGTAAAATTCAAGATTGTCTTAAAATAATAAATAAAAACGTTCCTAATGTATTTTCGAAATTGCAAAATGATTTATAAGATCTTCCAACTACGTTGGTATTCAAGCAACATGAAAAACAAGAGAGACAGATTTAAAAAAAAATCCATGACACTTTTCCTCATTTAGCTGCAAAATGCGTACAGCCCGACATCAATTATAATAATGTAATTTCCCAACACGACATTAGTACTGTAGTGGGAGTGCAGTTACGAGGAAAACAAGGCCATTGTTGCACAGAACAACGGGTTCACAGTAGGAACGACTAACTTTGGGATATAACTCCATGTCAATGGACGTAATATATTTATAAAGGAAGCTTTGAGTAAAGCTTGAGGCGAAGATTTAAAATTTATTGGAAATATACAAAAAATATGTATTCAACTGGTATGTCGTATATCGTTTGGAATCTCTGAGTCTGCGTAGGGACTTCGGTTCCCTCTGTATTTTGTACCGTATATTTCATGGGGAGTGCTCTGAGGAATTTTTTGAGATGATGCCATCATCTCGTTTTTATCATCGCACCGCCGGCCACCGGAGTACAGCATGAGCTCTACTCCAATATAATTGAAATGGATCCATCCAGGCTCCAGGTAGTTATGGATGACCATAACTACCTGGAGCCATTGCGTTCATCCACAGTGCGTTTCCAGAGATCATTTTTGCCATGTACCATCCGGCTTTGGAATGAGCTCCCCTCCACGGTGATTCCCGAGCACTATGATATGTTTTTCTTCAAACGCGGCTTGTGGAGAGTATTAAGCGGTAGGCAGTGGCTTGGCTCTGCCCCTGGCATTGCTGATGTACATGAGCGATGGTAACCACTTACATTCAGGTGAGCCGTATACCTGCTCGAGCAATAAAAAAAAAGTATAGAAAACAAATTGAACATTTACATTATGAGTTTTGGGTTAGCCGATCAAAATCGAAATAAAAGTTTGAAGAAGAGGGGTTTTGGAATCAAAATTTAATTAGAAATTTGCAAAAAATATTGAGTTTTACAGTAATCACTAATTATAATGTAACAGAACGGTAACAGTATATTGTAAGTACTGGATTAAGTGGATTCCTCAACTTAATGAGTGGGCTAGATCGATCATTTATAAATAAAATAATAATGAGTCAAACAAAAGATATATTTTTTTTAATTAAACTATGTCAGGAAATGCTTTGATTAAAATAAAAAGTAGAAAATTATTATGGGATTTAATGTAAAAAATAATAATATAAAAATCAGAAGAGAGTATGAAATGAAACAAAAATTTGTTCTCGAGTATTTCAGCACTTCCTATGATGTGATTGAATTCTTTATTCTGCTATTTTATGCTTTTATGCTATTTTACAAATCTACTAATCTATATATATATAAAAATGAATTGCTGTTCGTTAGTCTCGCTAAACCTAGAGAACGGCTGGACCGATTTGGCTAATTTTGGTTTTGAATTATTTGTGGAAGTCCAGAGGAGGTTCAAAAGGTAGATAAATATGAAAATGTTCGGAATTAAATAAAAATAACAATTTTATTTTCCCTTTGATGTGTCCCCCGTCGGACGGATTCCTTTTTATTTATCGATTGAGGCACTACGAAGTCTGCCGGGTCAGCTAGTATATTAAATAAAAATGTATGAGTTTCATAGTACTTAAATGACATTTTATGTTTTCTTCTTTCTGTTATTGTTACTGCGATTAAATGGAAATTTTATCGTACAACTGGCTATTCATTTAGACATTAATATAAATGCCACCTCTCAATCTGAGACATGGAGTAAAATTTTCAATTATATTGAAGAGTGGCTGTCCCACCCTTTACATTGAATATACATTTACTTAGATTCATCTATTTTCAAAATTACATTGGAAAACATAATACATTCCACATTTCACTATCGATGCTATTTTAATACCTATATGTCTGGACCCTTCTACGTTATATGCTGCAATGCATTTAGCAGATCTCTTAGCTTTCCGTAGTCTACAACCCTTAGGCAGATGTTGTTAAGGATGATTTACTTAATTGTTATCCTGACATTCTCGAAGTTAAACGCAGCATGAGTTAGTTTAACCTTGATCAAATTTTTAGGAGTTTATGATATTGATTTCGTATTTTTTTATAAAATCCCAGAGATGTAGGGGATGAGGTAATTAGAAAAACTCTTCATTAAAGAGATTGAATTACTGGAAGCAAATTTGCGCAATTTTTTTTATAGTATAAGCGAGTGTATCTCCTGACGCCAGCTTGGTATTAAGTGGTTATTGAAGCCCAGCCACAACGTGAATGCCATTTTCCACATTGAGACATGAAATCCAAGTATCATTTGTATGATGAACAACCCACATCATGCTACCCGTGTGAGCTGTCAAAGCACCAGTAATGTCATCAGTGATTACGCAAATATGAATTTTTCGGGTTTGAATTTTAATCCTCAATTTTATTTATTCCTTTATCTTGGAAGTCATTCGTGAACATACATAAATAGCTTTTAATTAGAAAAATTTTTTGCTGGTCTACGAGATTCGAACACTGGCATAATAAATAGCATTACCCGATGCGAATACACCGGCCGTGTTATCCTTTAGGCCACGACATCTCCAAAATTCATTAAATTTATTATTCGCAGTATTTCTTCACGTTAAAGCTTAATTTTAAGAAAAAATAACCAACGCTACTGAGAAAAGTATGATTACAAAGTCGAAAAACGGCTGTGAAATCATAATGTGACTCCGTAATTAACGCGTCTCGCCAGACAATTACAAATGTAAAAATAACGTGAGGGGTAATCGTTATAAGTATTCGGAGCAAGTCGGATGCTAATTGGCATTTCAAACGAATATTACAGGCCAAATATCAAGAAAAAGAGGCTCTGGAGACGAAGCATATTTTATTGGATCATTCACATACTACATACGCTATATAGACATTGATTCTCGTACGAAAAGTCTGTGTTAAATGCTTATAATGGTCTCGCGGGAGACTTCGTGTTCATTTATCTGACGTTAATGATAAATTATATAGTTATTGTCGTTGTACGCAGACAACTATGTATCAACATGGACGTCAGCAATGCCAAGGGTATAGTCAAGCCGCTGTCTAATGCTAAGTGTTACGAATGAAGATAATTTTATTGATTGCTTATAGTTAATAGCTTGTAGTAGCTTATAGAAAAGGTGGGAAAAGTTCGAGAAAAATTACCCAACTCAACAGCATTTTTGCATATTTTTTCCATTTGGACCAACGAGCTCATAGCTGAGCGGGTATGAAGCAATTATCGAAGGTCAACAACCTGAATGTCACCGTCTACCTTGTGATATGAGGCCCAAGTCTCATTTTAATGTGTGACGACAAAACGGGATGTCCATAAAAAAATATTATTCATACCAAAATTGTTGTTCCGGCACATTGCTAGCCGTCCCTCAGTGGAGAGGCGCGGGGAGGGAGTTTTCGGCTCGCGGCTGGGAGCGCGGCCGCCGGTCACTTCTCCAAGGACAAGATAAGCGCACGCGCATAAATTGGCAACACAAAAACAATTTTGGCCACGGCAATTTGTAATAATCATTATAGTCATTATAGTAATTTCATTAAGAGAACCAGTAATTTCATTAAGAGAACCTACATACAAAACATTGGTGACCCCGACGTGATTAACGATATCGAAACGCTAAGCAAAGCGCACGGACCTCGGACCCGCTACGACCGCTGCGTGACCTTTACGCACGGAGCGTATGATCGCCGCTCGACGCAATAGAAGGTTCCAGACATCGCGCTATGCAATTTGGAGTGCAGACGGAAGGATCTCAATAAGGACGGCATATTATCCAGCTTGAAGCCCGCCGGTCAGCGAAGTCTACGCGCCGCAGCCACAGCTTAGCCAGGAAGTGCCCAGTCCCTGCCTGTCTGTATGCTTTAAATCTATTTTAATTATCTTCACGGCTGTTTTATCATCTCGTTTGCCTGAATAGCATTGCCACTTTTATATCCCTGTCTATCTCAATTATTCAGCTATTGCCGTGCAGCCCACTGTGTTTTACCATTATATTTCATAATTAATAGATCTCACATTATTAAACAATATACTTTTTTAATTAATTGAAACTTATTTACAATTAAGAATACTTAGCTTCTCTATTATTAAACTTTTTTTATATACATATTTTTTATATTGTTTTGGTTCAGTTCTGTTATATAAGTAACTAAATATGTTTAGGGGCGGTGAATCTGATACTAAATCCCCTTTAGGGAGTGCGCTTTCATTAAACGCACCACAAATCAGTATAAATAGCGATTTAAAAGATTTAAACAATAAACGTAGCTCAGTTAAGGGTCGTGTCACCAAATATAAGAATTTTTTGAATGCATTTACTGAAGAGACGTCAATCTCGCGAAGCGATTATTATTTAATCGAACAAAGGTTTGAACGCTTCCGAGATATGCTCACAATTTTCGATGACATTCAAGCGCAGATTGAGACCTTAAATTCAGAGGACCTAGATGGTGAATTGGATATTAGAGAAAATATTGAGTCTGACTTTTCTTTACTTATTGCAAAAACGAAGTGTATCTTAGAAAAAAATGCGCCATCTGGATCTCATCATTCTGAATGCAGTTCTCATTCCAATAATTGTAATAATAATCACAATTCCATGGGATTTAAACTACCCGTCATAAAGATTTCAAATTTCGACGGCAGCTACTTTAAATGGTTGGAATTTCGAGACTCATTTTGTTCTCTCATTGATCAAAACAACAAAATTGAACCAATACATAAGTTTTATTATTTAAATTCTTATCTTGAAGGGGAGGCCTCTCGCGTTATCAGCAACCTGGAAATTAGCTCGGCCAACTATAAGGTGGCATGGGAGCTTCTTTGCGAGAGGTATAATAACATCAAGCATCTCAAAAGCCATCATTTGCATGCGTTATGTAACATGCAACAGCAACGCGATTCAGCAAAGAGCTTAAGGTACCTGATTGACAATGTTTCAAAAAATTTACGTGCGTTAAAGACTTTGGGTGAAAAAACCGATACATGGGATTCTTTAGTCATACATTTGGTCTCAGCCAAGCTCGACAGTCCCACTAGTGCTAAATGGGAAGAATTTAAAAATACTTTTAGTGAAAGTCCCTCCTTAAATGACTTCTTTCAGTTTTTAAAAGGCCGTTCGGATGTTCTAGAATCCATACGTCATAATAATAAGCCCGAACGACAAGCCAATACTTTTAAAGGAGAAACAAATTCATCTTTTCATAAATTTGAAAGGTCTCATGCAAAATCCTTTGCAATTTCAGCCTCGCCTGCGTCTTCTTCTGTGGCGTGTGTTCTGTGCAACGGCAGCCATCGCTTGTACGACTGTGATTCGTTCCTTGGAAAGCCGGTTGACGAGCGTATCGCCGATGTGGTGCGGTTGAAGCTGTGCTTCAACTGTCTGCGCAAAGGTCACTCTTCTCGTCAATGCAGGTTACGCCCTTGTTCTTCTTGTAAACAGCGACATAATTCTCTGTTGCACAAGGGTGGTTCTCAGGCTGTAAGTACTTCCGAAACACACGCGATCATAACTACAGCAGAAAATGAGGTTGAGGGGGATCATGATGACAATGTCATGAGTATGTCAGTCTCAGTTAACAACCACGTATTGCTTTCAACAGCGTTAATAGAAGTTTATAATTCAAGCTCAAATAAGCGTCTAACAATTCGAGCGCTGCTAGACAGCGGGAGTCAAACGTCTTTAATAACCAGTAAGGTAAAAAATGAATTAAACTTGACTCCTCAGCCATCCAGGCTTGCTATTGTAGGTGTAGGTAATCAGCCTTTATCTAATACTATGCAACGTTGTTCTTTAAAGTTGAGGTCAAAGCAAACCGATTTTGAAGCAGATATTTCTTGTTTTGTGCTACCTCAAATTTCAAGTAATTTGCCTAACAGTACATTCGATGCATCAATATGTAGCTTGCCTAGTAACATTAAATTAGCCGATCCTAATTTTAATCACTCTGCACCAGTAGATATGCTCATAGGTGCTGACTTGTTTTGGCATTTAATTGAATCTGATAGATTAGATTTTGGTCCAAATCAACCCACCGCACTAAAATCAAAATTGGGTTGGATATTGTCCGGACCTTTTGTACCAAACAAAACTAGTAATATTAATAGCGTACAATGTAATCATGTGTCATTTAATTCAGACAAGGATACTGTGTCCAACGATTCACTGCACAATGATTTAAAAATTTTTTGGGAATTAGAGAAAATTCCTACAAAGAAAAATATATTAACTGCCGACGAAATTGAGTGTGAAAATCATTTTAAAAAACATACATACCGTGATGAGGATGGACGTTTCCATGTGAAGCTCCCTCTACTGGCAGAACCAGAATGCTTAGGGAATTCATATAATTTTGCTAAAAAACAATTTTTATCCTTAGAGAAAAGGTTAACACGAGACGCTAATCTAACACAAATGTACTCACATTTTATAAAAGAATATAAAGATTTGGGCCATTTATCAGAGTCTAGTAAATTAATTCCTGAGCAATCATTCTTTATTCCTCATCACCCAATTTTTCGCCCTACTAGTGAATCAACGAAGTTACGCGTAGTTTTTAATGGAAGTTCTAAAACCACTTCTGGTTATTCGTTAAATGATTTACAAGTTGCAGGTCCACATATTCAAGATTCTTTATTTAATATCTTAATCAGGTTTCGTCAGTATACTTATGTACTGTCAGGCGACGTAGAAAAAATGTATAGAATGATTAAGGTGCAAGAGAGTGATCGGGACCTGCAAATGATTTTATGGCGCGATAACAATACAGAGCCAATAAAATCATTTAGACTTAACACCGTCACGTACGGCTTAACAAGTTCAAGCTTTTTAAGCACTCGTTGTTTGTGGCAGCTTGGCGAGGAATGCAGCGATAATAAGATTAAAAAAATTATTCAAAACGATTTTGTAGTCGATGACTTGCTGACCGGAAGTGATAGCAAACACGAGTTAATGTATATAAAAAAAGCTGTTGAAAGTGCTCTCGCTGCCGGGTGTTTTAATTTAAGGAAATACCGTTCAAATTTATCGTCACTTTTGGAAAATAATGAAAATACTCAGAAAAATCTTATTATTAGCTCATCATCTCACACGCTGGGTGTAGGTTGGGATCCTAGAAGCGATATAATACATTTTCCTACAAATTATCGCAGCAATACCAAAATTACTAAGCGTTCTATATTATCTGAATCATGTAAAGTTTTTGATCCTCTTGGAATATTAAGTATTTTTACAATCAAACCTAAAATATTAATACAAAAATTATGGATTGAAAAGGTTGACTGGGACGAACCAGCACCCCAAGAAATCAGGCAGTCATGGCTATTGTTCATTGAAAACATGAAGCATCTTCATTTATTACGCATTCCTAGGCATGTTTTATGTAAGGAACCTAGTCATATTGAATTGCATTGTTTTTGTGATGCTTCACAGGCGGCTTATGCTGCTTGCATCTACTTAAAATCTACAAATGCACAAGGTGACGTCACTGTTAGGCTTTTAAGCGCTAAGGCCAGGGTAGCCAGTGTTAAACCCACGACAATCCCACGTTTGGAACTGTGTGCTTGTTTGTTGGGCGCGCAGCTCGCAGACGCTGTGGTACACGCCCTGCGCTGTGTAATCGCTCGTAAGGTATACTGGACTGACTCATCTATAGCTTTAGCATGGTTAGGTGCAAGGTACGACAAATTAAAAACCTTTGTTGCTAATAGAGTCGCAATGATTTTAGAGCTAACAAACGACTCGGAATGGCGTCATGTTCCCACTCACCTCAACCCTGCTGATCTAGCTTCACGCGGCGTAGATACAATTAAAAATGATACTTTAGATATATGGTGGACGGGCCCTACCTTTTTAAGTCAGAACGAATCTTTGTGGCCGTCCTACGTGTCGAGAAATGTTAACATAAATGAATTGCCAGAAATTAAAGTTCATGTTAGCACAACAAATAAAGGCGTCGATGAAAATAACAAACAACCACTAATTATCGATTTTAGCAAATATTCGAAATTGAAATTCTTGCAACGTACATTCGCCTACATGCAGCGATTTGTTTATAATTGCAGAAACCCACGCAATAAGAAAGTAGGTATTTTACAGCCTGAAGAACTAGCCCGTTCCTTTAGAAAACTCGTTTATTTGGCTCAAGCTGATAGTTTCTCAAAGGAAATAAACCTTCTACGCTCCAAAGGAGTTCTTAACTCAAAAAATTCTTTAATATCACTGAATCCATTTCTGGACAGTGAAGGCATTCTAAGAGTAGGTGGACGTTTAACTTTATCCTCTTATAATTTTGAAAAACGTCACCAAATGCTGCTTCACGCCAAACATTGGCTTACTAAATTACTGTTTCAACAAGAGCACTTGCGTCTTCTACATGCTGGGCCACAGCTATTGCTATATACCGTTAGAGAATCCATTTGGCCCATTGCTGGTCGAGATCTAGCTCGCACCACAACGAGACAATGTGTTAAATGTAGGAGAATTAGTGGTAAGACATTTAATCCTATCATGGGTTCATTACCAGAACAGCGAGTCAATCCCGGTTTTCCCTTTGTTAGTGCAGCGGTCGATTTTGCTGGACCATATTTAATTACCGACAGAAAAGGAAGAGGATGTAAAATTACAAAATGTTATCTTTGCTTATTCGTATGCCTTAAGTATAAATGCTTACATTTGGAAGCTGTAAGCGAGCTGTCTAAGGACGCATTCATTTTAGCTTTACGCCGTTTTATCTCTCGCAGAGGAAAGCCCCATGAATTATTTTGCGACAATGGTCGTAATTTTGTCGGAGCCGCAAGAGAGATAGGTGACTTTTTGAATACCGGTGCTGACGAAGTAGAGGCTTTTTCTTCCGGAGAAGGAATAAAATTTAACTTTCAGCCGGCTTACTCCCCACATTTCGGTGGTCTTGTTGAAGCATGCGTTAAATCGGCAAAATATCATCTCAAGCGCATGTTGGGACAGACTCATTTAACTTTCGAAGAGCTGGCTACGCTATTTAGTCAAATTGAGGCGATCTTAAACAGTCGGCCCCTCTGTCCTTTATCCTCAAGTCCAAATGACCTACAGCCTCTTACCCCTGGGCACTTTTTGATAGGCAGACCATTAAATTCATATCCTAATGAAAACTTTGCGGACAGAACCTACAGAACCAGGGACAGATTTCTACGCCTAGAGTTCCTGCGTCGACTGTTTTGGAAGCGGTGGATGCTGGAGTACATAACACAACTGCAAGCCCGACAAAAATGGCGAACTCCTGGCACATCGCTGCAATTGGGGGACTTGGTACTCCTAAAAGAAGAAAACGCTCCTCCCATGCACTGGAAGGTGGGACGAATCACTGCTCTGTTCCCGGGAGAGGACGGAGTTGCTCGGGCGGCGGACGTCCGGACTACTACGGGCACGTACCGGCGTGGCACTCGGTATTTATGTCCATTACTGGATCCAGCAGCGTCTTCATTGGAAGCGACAGCTTCCAACGCCCCGGAGGATGTTCCGGCACATTGCTAGCCGTCCCTCAGTGGAGAGGCGCGGGGAGGGAGTTTTCGGCTCGCGGCTGGGAGCGCGGCCGCCGGTCACTTCTCCAAGGACAAGATAAGCGCACGCGCATAAATTGGCAACACAAAAACAATTTTGGCCACGGCAATTTGTAATAATCATTATAGTCATTATAGTAATTTCATTAAGAGAACCAGTAATTTCATTAAGAGAACCTACATACAAAACATTGTTGATCTATTGTGCATTTAATAAACACGAATCTAAATAGGTTTATATTAGTAATCTGAGGACGTCTCAGTAATTCTCTAATAGGAGGAGCAGGTCGCCAATACTCGAATGTAGCGTCATCGTCATTGCGACTAATATCATTAAGTGCATTTAAGATTATTAAATTTTAATCCTCCAATTCCCGTACTGGGTCATTTCCATTTGTTGATTACGTAACACCGAACTATTCGACATGATAGGTGTGTCATGATAATATCCTTTTTCCTTATATCCATTAAGGTGTTGGTTGGACGAGCTCACCGCCCACCTAGTATTAAGTGGTTACTGGAGCCCATAGACATCTACAACGTAAATGCGCCACCCACCTTGAGATATAAGTTCTAAGGTCTCAGTATAGTTACCACGGCTGCCCCACCCTCCAAACCGAAACGCATTACTGCTTTACGGCAGAAATGGGCGGGGTGGTGGTACTTACTCGTGCGGACTCACAAGAGGTCCTACCACCAGTAATTATGCAAATTATAATTTTGCGGGTTTGATTTTTATTACACGATGTTATTCCTTCACCGTGGAAGTCAATCGTGAACATTTGTTGAGTACGTATTTCATTACAAAGCTTGGTACCCGCCTGCGGGATTAGAACACCGTTGCATCGCTAATTACGAACGCACCAGGCGTCTTATTCTTTAGGCCACGACGACCTCATTATTAGTTGACGGATTAATAATTGAAATATTTAAGACTGTATGAAAGGAAGGACACGGCTTAATTTTTTTTTTTTTTAATTCCCACTTTGTCCCCTATAATATTTGGTTAGATTAAACAACGTCAAATAAACATTTAATCCAAGAAATACGAGATTGGGTTAATAGTTAAATTATGCGGTACACTGCATCTCTGCGCGCGTAAGATTATTTTATTCTCTCAGTGCCGTGGTCATTCCAATTCGTGGACTACGTGTCTTCGAAGCATTTGACACGACAAATTGGTGTTAATTCCCGAGGCCACGGGTCGTAGCAATTACGTTCCCGACGGATGTTTAATCTTTACTAATTAAGAACACCTTTTGATGCTACAAGAGTGATGTGTAAATGGATTCCAATTTCGTTATGGAGATGATGTATGTTTGTGGAATTTTATATAAAGCGTGTTCATTTTGACTTGGCCTTTCGAGGACTTTTGAATGGAAAACATTAAGGGAAACAAAAGGGATTCGTAATAAATTTATTTTTAAAAAATCATTGTTTGATGTCACAGTGATTTTGCTCGGACATTAGAATGATGTGACCATCTACAGGTATCTCGCACTGTTGTATGAATAAGATAAGCGCGAGATTGTATTGAGTGTTTTATCATTATAATATTCGTTGAATAAAAACTATGGTGTATATTGTGATGTGTCGATACCATAATGTGATTTTTTTTTATTGTGTACATGGGTGCACGAGCTCACAGCCCACCTGATGTTAAGTGGTTACTGGAGCCCATAGACATATACAACGTAAATGCGCCACCCACCTTGAGATATGAGTTCTAAGGTCTCAGTATAGTTACAACGGCTGCCCCATCCTTCAAACCGAAACGCATTACTGCTTCACGGCAGAAACAGGCAGGGTGGTGGTACCTACCCGTGCGGACTAAAAAGGTCCTACCACCAGTAAGAAAGAGTCAGTCAAAATAATTGTACTAAGCGTTCCGATCGAACGCCTAACGCAGAAACATTAACATCGCACTATTCATCAACCGACGAAACGATCCGAAGATGCTTCCACGTTTACTCAGAGTTAATTTTAATTAGAAAAGTTGCGCAATTAACCGGCTCACCTCGCGAACCGGTCGGGAAAATTGGAATTGTTTAATTTCACCCCTCTGTAGCGTGAGAGTGTCGTTAATCTATGTCTTTCGGTTGCTTTTAATATAATTAAAAAAAAAAAACAAACACTCGTACGTTTGTCGTATGCTTATAATCGTCTCGCGGGAGACTTCCGTGTTCATTTATTTGACGTTAATGATGAGTTATATAGTTTTTGTTGTTGTACGCTGTTACCTTATATTGTTTTGTTAAAAGCTTACTAGTCTATGCTCCGGAAATGGATATTATTCCTTAATGATCTGCAGTGATTTGTAACAGTTGCAAAGAGCTACCATTAATGCTTTAAAAAGTTTTGGTTCAACCGTTAGTCTATAAGAATACTGAAATAAATAAATAAATATATAATATCCAAATCGCAAACGGTCTTAATAAATAACTTTACAAATAATCGGGGTATCTGAGAGTAAATTAAGAACGGATCTCACCGAATTTCAAATGACAGCTGCGCTTATTGAAATTATTTCATCGAACTTTTTGAAAAGATTCTTTTCTCCGCCCGTTTTAATATTGGTTTTGAAATTATTGACTTTTTTAATAATCTTTTTTTTTTAGTATCAGCGCGGTTGGATTTTACTAATTCTAATTCACCTGATATTTTGTGATTAGGTGAGATCGTAGTGATTACCTCAATTACATTGAGCTAACCGATATCGCATCTATCAAACTATACAGTAAGTAAGGGCGGATTACTTGTCATATTCAAATTCAAATTCAAATTCAAAATCATTTATTTCAACTTGGATGTCATCAAAAACACACTTGTTGAATGTCAAAATGTAAAAGAAAATGTTAACTCTACCACCGGTTCCAAAAAAGCCACAGTCCTGAGAAGAACCGGCGAAACAAACTCAGCGGGCTTTTTTTTTTTTTTGTATTTTCCCAACTATTTTCTTTTTTTTTTAAACAAGAAAACATATTTACAGTATACAAAAAAAACAATTCAAAAAAATACAATTCAAATAAATAATAATAATAATGAAAAGGCCAGGAGCGAACGCCTCATTCCCACGTAGTGCCATCTAGTAAAAAATCCTTAACTTTATAGTATGCCTTGTTGCACAAACGTTCCTTGACAGTTTTCTTAAATCTATGAACAGGTAGTAGTTGAACGTTTTGTGGGATCTTGTTGAAAAGCTGTACACCCAGCCCCCTGAAAGAGTTGCTTATTTTCTTAATTCGAGCCGCCGGCAACGCAAGCCTATGTTTGTTCCTAGTGTTCACATTATGCAAATCGCAGACTCTGGGGAATTCTACAATGTTTTTACGCACGTACAATAAATTTTCAAAAATGTATTGGGACGCTAAAGTTAGAATTTTGATTTCCTTAAACTTGTCCCTCAAGGATTCCCTCGGGTGCATATTATAAATAGCACGAATAGCCCTCTTCTGCAGGATGAAAATCGTTTCGACATCGGCAGCATACTGCTTATATTTATCCCATATCATTTCATTTCATTAAATTTCATCCCAGTTGATTAATGTCTCAAATTAATCATCTTCATTTCATTTCACTCCATATTATCATTTTTCATAAAATTAAGAATATAAAGTAAAATAAGACATGACTTAAAGGTCTTAGTTACCAGGTCATAAAATCTCTTAAAAAAAACACATATTGATTTTTTTAAGGGTTTTATGACCTGGTATAAGACTTTTAGGTCATGTCTATATTTTATATTTTTATTTACATAAAATCATTTTACTTAATCAATTCGGTTTTTGGACATACAGCCTCTACCATGAACAAGTGCATAGGGGTTAGGGGAATTTATCATCATCCAATATCCTTGATACTCAAGAATACTGCTTGCAGTGTTCTTGGAAAAACACCAGGTGCATTCAATTAAGGTGGGCATAAGTTCTAATTATACAAAATAAAGGATACCTAACCATGGTTTTTATCCATGATGAAAGTCATACCTGGCAGATAGAAATTTCCAGGTAAGAGAAGGACGGGAAAGTATCAATATTCACGGAATAATGCCGGAGTTCCACATGGGTACTGTCTGAGACCTCTATATACTCATATATACTGCCTGACTTTTCCTAAATACAAGGCGTTACAGCTACATTGCGGACGACATGCACCATTGAAGCAGCATGGATCGCTGTTGGCCTCTGCTACCCCCTTCCCTTGGCAGAACACTGGACAAGGTGATGAATGGCTCCAGAATGGCGAATAAAGGTCAGTATACAATAAGTCCGCTCCAG